CTGACCACTCTGAATGTGTTTAGATTTGCCTGGATTTTAGCATGCCCCATGGGAGTTTGGAAATGTTTCTAAGTTTTTCCTGAAGTAATTGCATTGGCATTCTCAATTAGAATTGCAGTAGGCCAGCATTTTGAAAGCTGGAGGGTGCAATGCTATTCCAAATCGGACCTTGAGCAGAGGAGGGAGACAGCAGTGGGGATGTAGATGGCTTTAGCACTCCCTGCTGTACCGTACATCAGGGAACTGAACGGGGCAGGGGAGGGGTTAGCCGGATGGGGGCTGAGGGGTGATGGGGGAACTGAATGGGGCAGGGGAGAGGTTAGCTGGATGGGGGCTGAGGGATGACAGGGGAACTGAACGGGACAGGGGAGGGGTTAGCCGGATGGGGGCTGAGGAGTGATGGGGGAAACGCAGGGTGACTGTCAGGGAAAATTCCTGCCACAGGCTGGGGAACCCTCCGGGAACGGGGGAGCCCATCGCTGGTGTTTATCACCAGACTGGACAAAGCCGTGGAGAACAAACCTCCCCAGCCCATCCCCCTACTGCTAGTCACCCCACCCGCGGGGGCTGCTCGGAGGTTTCGGTGAAAGCTCCGTGGGGAAGGGGCCCAGGCGTCCCATTCCCTCTGGGAAGTGCCCCGCACCCCTTTGGGCGCTATACGATACTCACACACTAATAATGACCGGCAGCACCTCCTGACACCTTTCAGCCACGTGACCGCAGCCAGGGGGGCTGGCGCCCAGGCCGGGGCGGGGTGAGCTAAGCACACCCCCGGGCATGGTGACGTGCTGTGCGCGGCTGAGGCCTATGGCTGATTCCAGGGGGTGTTTTCCTGCGGGTAGCAGCAATACTCCCTGCTGAGCTGCACGTACCTGATGGGTCCATGGAGCTCAGAGAAGGGCTGCAGGGGGAGCAGAGCCGTCCCGCTCGACAGGGAGATGCTGTAGACGCTCAGGGCGGTGACGTTGGCGGGGATGGCCGGCTCTGCAGGGATTAATCAAAGGGCAAAGCGTCAGCGGGCAGCATCGCACGCTGTCTGGGAGACAGGAAGGGCCCCTCTGACAGCCAGAGGCACAGAACTGCCCTGTCTGCACCGGCCCCTTTTGGGGGTGCTGCCAAGCCTGCCTCAGGAACAATGCCGGGCTGTCTGGGCATAAACCCCCCTGCTCCTGCCGTGCTGTGCCTGCCCTGGGGTGAAGGGAGTGCACAGCATGGAGGTGAGCGCCACGCCGCACCCGGCTCAGCTGGGCGCGCTGGGCCTGTGCTCTCCTGGGACACAGCACCGGGGGAAAGGAGAGGGGCCGGGAGCCAGGCCAGAGAGATCTGGGAGTGGCTTTTGGTCCGTGCCCTGGTCCTTGGCCCCCTCAGACTCATCCTAGAGCAGGGAGGTTGTAACGATGCTGCCTCTGGTGGGACACAACTGAGAGGATCAATTCAGGACAAACCGCTCAGAGCAGGATAGTCACAGGCCCAGGCTGGTGGTTTTCCACCTCTAAAGCACCAAACCAGCCAGCGAGGACTTCGGTCTCACCCCACTGGCTAACCAGAAGTCACCCAAGCAATTCCCTAAGACACTCCAGAAGTAAGAAGCAGGAGTGAAGACAAGATGAAGGAGATGCAGCTGCCTTTTCTAGTCCTTTTGCCATGTGGCTTGTGCTTCCTCTGTTCCAAAGACAAGCTACCCAGCACCTGGCCTGGAAAAACCTCACAGTTCTGTCCATAGGCCTGTCCCTGCCCTGCTGAGTCACAAGGCGTATCTGCCTCCTCTCAATGGGTCAGTTGTGTAGCTGATAATGGTCCCCAATGGGCCATCAAGCAGGCTAGCAGTGCTGCTGCCAAATTGTCTGGGGTGTCACTGTGACAGGTTCTCTGCCCTGCCCCTCTTCCAGAGCCCGCTGGCTGTCCCAATAAAGTGCAGAGAGGTTGCCAGCTATTCAGCACCCGGGGTTCTCCCACCACCAGTGCTGAGCTATATACAAGGCTGGCAGGGTTAGTTCCCTCTTTCCAAGCAGTCGCCCACAGCTCGGAGACTGACCTTTCCCTGACTGGGCTTTTCTCCTGGCTCCAGCCCTTGTAACTGCTGGCTTGTCAGGCCCACAGGTGGAGCCAAGCCGCAGGCCAGGCATCAGGTCTGTCTCACCAGCCCCGGTCTATTTCTCTTGACTGGAGCTGGCTGGGCAGGGGTAATTAGGTGCTTTTGCTTCAGTCACTCAGAAGCAGAGCACAAGTTTGAAATACAGACAGTACAGAGCCAATACTTATAACTTTAAATACAAAATGATACATGCATCCAGACAGCATCATCATAACCAGCAAATCATAACCTCCTCATAGACACCTTACTTGACTTTCTTTGTACAAGATTTGGTGCCACTGTATGACCTTGGTTGCAACAGTGATCTATACGGTCACAGTTCACGTCAATAACGTCACAGAGGCCCTTACCAGAGATGTTGGTTTCAAAGTCCCAGCGCGACGCCTGCCCAAGGCCGGCAGCCGTGAGGCCCTGGATTGTCACCGTGTAGTTGGTCCCGTGTCTCCAGGGCTGCAGCAGGTACTTGGTAACCGACTGATTCACCCGCAGCTCCTCGACCTCGAGGAAATCGCTGTCGTACTCTCTCCTGGCCGTGATGTTCAGCTAGAGAAAGGAAGGAGGCTTTGGAAAGGAGCGGTTCTGACCCCCAGCCCCGCCTGATACACAGGCCACAAGCCCCACGCTGCTGGGCATTGCCTGAGCTCCCCTGTGCCAGCAGGGACTTCACCCCCCTTCCCCTGCAGCACGGCAGAGCTGCCCAGCCCAGCAGCACCGGGGAGTTTCTCCTTCCTCTGCGGGAGCCGGCACGGCCACCTGGGCAGCAGGACGGGCACTGCTCAGGTAGGGTGAATGCCCAGGGCCACTCCCCGTCACAGGGATCCCCCATTTGTCAGTGTCCCTGGGGAGGTGCTGGGCTGGACCAGAGTTAATGTTACCCAGGAGCCGCTGGCCCAGAACCCTCCAGCTCTGGCTCGGGGCTGTTATCGCTTTCGCTGTGTTTAGCTGGGCCCCCCAGCCCCCCAGGCCCAGCCCCCGAGGAGCCGACCACAGCCCCACAGGTGCTGACGGGGCCGAGTGCAAACAAAGCGCTGCTGAATGGGTGCTTGTCTTTCCGTTCAGAATACAGTGCCCGACACAGATCCCGAGCTCGCCCGGCCAGCCAGCGGCACGTAACGAACGCCCACAGCCCGGCCCCAGCTGTACCCAGCCCAGGGGAAGAAAGGAGCCGGGACTGTTGTGGACCGGAGGTGGGAGGGGATCCCAGAGAACATCCGGCCAGCGCCGCCTGCTGTTACCCCAGGGGCTCTAGCTCGGCCGGTCAGCGGAGATGAAAACCCAGAGCCGAGCGTCACCTGCAGGCTGCTGCTCCCTCGCCCCCACCAGCCTCCCGGGGAGGCAGGCAGGGAACCCCACCCGACTGCCCCTGGGCTACGAGCCATTTACCCCAGGATCTCCTAGGAGAGACGGCCCCTTGGCAGCGACCGAGGCCTAACCCAGACAGGGATTACAGGTGAAAAACAACTCCCTGGATCGCAGCAAAGACTAACAGGTGAGAGCCTGGAGCCCAGGAGCACGGAGCCGCATGCTGCGCCAGGCAGGAGCCGGGTCGGAGTCTGCAGCACAGGGGCACGGAGCCGATTGCTGCACCAGGCAGGATCTGGGTGTGACGGTGCAGTCTATATGATTTTATAAAAATATGCTAATGAGTGTGAATATAATGTAACTAGAATATGCTTCATGCAAAAGGTCTCTTGTAAGGTATCATTACAAAGCTTATAATCTACTGAGTGTGGTCATCCTATTTGTATAAATGTATCACTGTTGTATCTGAAACTAGAAATATGAAATATAACTCTGAGGGCCTATTGTACTTACGCAAAGTGTGTGGGCCATTAATGGTGGTTTGGAATCTTGATGGCTTCCATCAACCAGGACAATTGTCTGTAGATGGCTCTGTTTTACCTGTAAGTCTTCCTGTATACGTGTGTGCTGGCAAGTGGGCAATGAAGTCTTGCAGTGACATGTGATCATGTCACCTGAACTGGAATCCATCTTTAACCTGGTGCTTTTCCATTGAGAAGGAGGGGTGGGAACCCAGAGTGGGACAAAGGATTCCCGCCTTATGCAAAAGATATATAAGTGGGTGGAACAGAACAAAGGGGGCTGCAGTTATAAGAAATCCCCTAGCTACCACCTGAGCTGGAACAAGGGCTGTACCAGGGGAAAGGATTGGGCCCAGACTAGGAAGGCGTCCAGTCTGTGATAGAAGCTTATTGGAACATCTCTGAGGGTGAGATTTACCTGTATTCAGTTTTCTTATTGTATTAGGCTTAGACTTCTGTGTTTGTTCTGTCTATTATTACTTGGAACCACTTAAATCCTACTTTTTATATCTAATGAAATCACTTTTTACTTATCAATTAACCCAGAGTATGTATTAATAGGGGGGGGGGCAAACAGCTGTGCATATCTCTCTATCAGTGTTATAGAGGGCGAACAATTTATGAGTTTACCCTGTATGCGTTTTATACAGGGGAAAATGGGTTTATTTGGGGTTTGGACCCCACTGGGAATTGGGCATCTGGGTGCTGGAGACAGGAATACTTCTTAAGCTGTTTTCAGTTAAGCCTGCAGCTTGTGGGGGACGTGGTTCAGACCTGGGGCTGTGTTTGCAGCAATCAAGCATGTGTGGCTCAAACCAGGCACGGGACTGAAGTCCCGAGCTGGCAGGGAAAACCCGCTCAGAGGTAATCTATGCACATCGGGTGGCAGTTCCCAGAGGGGTTTCTGTGACCCAACCCGTCACACTGGGTCAGAGCCCGCAGC